CGAAGATGGAGCTGGAGCGATGGCGCCACAGGTAAGTATCACTGGCCTCCGCCAGTCTTTCTCCCACTCTACGATCTACCACCTACCAGCGCCCAGCGCTGAAGACTACAGCTACAGCTATGGAGCCCAGCGCCGAAGACTACAGCTAGCGCTAATACCACCTAGCGCTGAAGACTACTGCAGCGCTCCTCCTGAGTGCTGCGGCCGAAATCCTGAAGACTACCTCGTGCCTACTGAACTACCTACTCGTGAAGTGCATGGGAACTTCCTATGTACTACCGGGTGTGCCTCCTGAGCCTGCCGAAGGGAGGCAGAGGCTGCAGCTGCAGCTCCTGCTCAAACTCGTGAGGAACAGGCTATTTCTGGCCTGTTCCGCATCCCTGTTTACGTGCCTGAGTCTTAGGGGCAGGTCTAAACAATGAGGGCCTGAAAATGGCCCTCCGTTTCAGGCTGAAAACTCTGGGTCTGAAAAGACCCAGAAATAGGCTGAAACGGGGTAGGGCCTGCAGGCCCTCGTTTTTCAGCACTTTTCGAACTCAAAACCTGCCACGTCCACCGCTCCCCCCCCCTCCTCCCTCCTTTTATGGTGCCTGTGAGAAGCTGATGCTCTGCAGCCCCCCTCTACTTCCATCATTTTTTGTATGCTCTCGTTTCACCCTCTTCATCCTCTCTCTTCCGTCTCTCCTCGTCCCTTCTCCCTTTTTTCTTTCCTCATCTCTCTTTACCTCCCTCACACTGTCCTCAGCCTGCTGAACCCATATCCTAGGCTACTTACAAAGCCTCCAAAAATGGAAAGAAATCCACCAACCTCCAGCCTCAGGAAATGGAAAGAAAGCATCCAACCTCTATCCCCCAAAGATGGAAATAAAACCACCAACCTCCAGCACAAGATAATACTGCATGTTGACGTGAACTCTTCCTTCTAAATCCGGCGGTTACATTTGTTAGCCGTCCTTTTTTTTTTTTTTTTTTTTTTTTAAAGGGGGATGACCTGAGATATTATCATTGGATAACCACCTCAATTAAATTCAATTTCTAATCTGACAGGGTGGCCTTATTGCCTTCAGAGAACCCCTATAGCAGCTATATACTTTCAAATGAGGGCATGTGAGGCTGCGCCCAACCCCACAGGAACTACCGGTACGAGGGCAACACCGGCCAGGGGTCAGCCCGTAGCAGAGGGAAAGAGTGTCATCTGAGTGGCCAGTCGCTGTGCCTCCCAGATGACCTCCCCCTACGAACATCATCCGTGATTACTTAATGCCAATGGGGGGGACCAATGGGCTATTTCTAGGTGGAGGGCGCTAAGCATACCCAGGA